AAGGATCAGTGAAACAAAAAGTTGGTTTTCTGAAAAGATAAAATCAATAAACCACTAGACTAATTGAGAAAAAAGAAGACTCATGCTGAGACCAGCTCTGCTTGGGAGACCCAAACCCAGTGGCGCTACAGGAGTTAAAGACACACACACAGAAATATAGACTTGTGGAGTAGGAAATCAGGAGTCTCACAGCCTTCAGAGCTGAGAGCCTTGAACAGAGATTTACCCACGTATCTATTAACAGTAGGCCAGTGATAAGCATTGTTTCTATAGATTAAAAATATTCCTTACTGGAAACAAAGCGATGGGCCAAAACAAAGTGTTGGATTTGGCTAGTTGTCTGTAGCAGGAGCATGTCCTTAAGGCACAGATCACTCATGCTATTGTTTGTGGTTTAAGAATGCCTTTAAGTGGTTTTTCCATCCTGGGTGGGTCAGGTGTTCCTTGCCCTCATTCCGGTAAACCCACAACCTTCCAGCGTGGGCATCATGGCCATCATGAACATGTCACAGTGCTGCAGAGATTTTGTTTATGGCAGTTTTGGGGTCAGTTTATGGCCAGATTTTGGGAACCTGTTCCCAACAGATCCAAATAGTCAGAAACAAAAAAAGATACATTATGGCTGATGCCACAGAAATACACAGGATCAGCTGGAATGGTGGCTCACTCCTGTAGACCCAGCACTTTGGGAGGCCAAGGCAGGTGGATCACCTGAGGTCAGGAGTTCAAGACCAGCCTGGCCAACATGACAAAACTCCATCTCTAGTAAAAATACAGAAATTAGCCGGCCATGGTGGTGCACATCTGTAATCTGAGCTACTCAGGAGGCTGAGGCAGGAGAATCACCTGAACCCGGGAGGTGGAGGTTGCAGTGAGCCAAGATTCTGCCACTGCGCTCCAGCCGGGGTGACAGAGTGAGACTCAGTTTCAAAAAAAACAAAAAAACAAAAACAAGGGATCATTAGAGACTGCTATGAACAATTATATGCAAACATATTGGAAAACCTAGAGGAAATGGATTAATTCCTGAACACACACAATCTACCAAGATTGAACCAGAAAGAAATGAAATGCTTGAGTAGACCAATAATGAGAAAAGAGATCAAATAAGTAATAAAAAATCTTTCAGCAAAGAAAAACCCAGAACTGTATGGCTCTACTGCTGAATTCTACCAAACTTATAAGGAAGAACTAACACCAGATCTTCTCAAACTATTCCAAAAAGTTGAGGCAGAGAGGAATTCATCCTAACTCAGTCTACGAGACCAGCATTACACATTACATTGATAGTAAGTCAGACAAGGACACAAGAAAAAAAAAATGGACCGGTATCCTTGATGAACACGATGAACACAGACACAAAAATCCTCAGCAAAATACTAGCAAATTGAATCCAACATGTCAAAAAGATTAGAAACCATAATCAAATGGAATTTATCCCAGTGATGTAAGCATGGTTCAACATGTGCAAATCAGTCAGTGTGTGATACATCACATTGACAGAATGAAGGACAAAAACGATATGATCATCTCAGTAGGACAGAAAAAGCATTTGATAAAATTTATCATCTTTCCCTGTTAAAAACTCTCGACAAGTTAGACATAGAAGAATACCTCAACATAAAAGCTGTATATGACACATCCACAGCTGACATCACACTGAATGAGGAAAAGCTGAAATACTTTCCTCTAAGACTGGAACAAGACGAAGATACCCACTTTTAATTCTCCTATTCAACATAGTACTTGAAGTCGTAGCCAGAGCAATCAAGCAAGAGAAAGAAATAAAAGGCATCTAAATTGGAAACGAGGAAGTCAAATTGTCCCTCTTTGTAGATGACATAATCTTATACATAGGAAAACCTAAAGACTCTACTAAAAATCTCTTAGAACTGATAAATGTATTCAGGAAAGCTGTAGGATACAAAGTCCAACATACAAAAATCAGTAGTGTTTCTATACACCAATAATGAAGTGGCAGAAAAAGAAATCAGAGAGCAATCCCATTTACAATAGCTACAGAAAAATAAAATGCTTAGGAATAAATTTAACCGAGGAGGTAAAAGACCCCTACAACGAAAGTTAGAAAACATTATTGAAAGAAATTAGGACACAAACATAAAGACATTTGATGCTCATGGATTTTAATAATTAATATTGTTAAAATGACCATACTGCAGAAAGAAATCTACAGATTCAGTGCAACTCCTATCCAAATACCAATGACAATCTTCACAAAAAATAGAAAACCTAAAATTTGTATGGGACCACAAAACACCCTAAACAGCCACAGCAATACTGAGCAAAATTAACTAATCAGGAAGCATTACACTACCTGATTTCAAAACACACTACAAATCCAGATTAATGAAAACAGCATGGTATTGGTATAAAAAGACTCATAGACCAATGGAACAGAATAGAGAAACGAGAAATATATCCAGCTGTTTACAGTCAACTGATTTTTGACAAATGCACCAAGAACATACAGACACCCTTCAATAAGTGGTGCCAAGAAAATTGGATACCCATATCCAGAGGAATGAAACTAAACCCCTATCTCTCACTATGTACCAAAATCAACTCAAAATAGATTAAAGACTTAAGATACAAAACTATAAAACTAGAAGAAAACATAGGAGAAAAGCTTCAATATACTGATCAAAGCAAAGATTTTATGACTAAGACCTCAAAAACACAGGCAACAAAAGCAAAAATAGACCAAGAGGACCATATTAAAAGCTTCTGCACAGCAAAAGAAACAACAGAATGAAGAGACAGTCTATAGCGTGGGAGCAAACATTTGCAAACTGTTCATCTAACATGGGACTGATATCTAGAGTATACAAGGAACTCACACTACTCAACAGCAGAACACCAAATTATTCCATTAAAGAGTGTGCAAAGGGGCTGGGCACAGTGGCTCACGCCTATAATCCCGGCACTTTGGGAGGCCGAGGCAGGTGGATCACGAGGTCAGGAAATAGAGACAATCCAGGCTAATATGGTTAAACCCCATATCTACTAAAATAACAAAAAAATAAAAAGTAGCCGGGCGTGTTGGCATGCCTGTAGTCCCAGCTACTCGGGAGGTTGAGGCAGGGGGATCGCTTGAACTGGGAAGCGGAGGTTGCAGTGAGCTGAGACTGCGCCACTGCACTCCAGCCTGGCAACAAAGCAAGACTATGTCCCCCCCCCCACAAAAAAAAAGGGAAATGTGGGCAAAGGATCCTAATAGAGCTTTCTCCAAAAAAGACATATAAATGGCCAACAACTATATAAAAAAATGCTCAATATCACTGATCATCAGGGAAATGCAATGTCAAAACCGCAGCAGAAAACCAGTTAGAATGGCTGTTATCAAAAAGACAAAAAATAGATAAATAAATAAATGCTGACAAAGAAGTGGAGAAAAGGCAACTCTTTTTTTTTTTTTGAGATGGAATGTCACTCTGTCGCCCAGGCTGGAGTGCAGTGGCGCATTCTTGGCTCACTGTGAGCTCTGCTTCCCGGGTTCACGAGAGAAAAGGCAACTCTTACGCACTGTTGGTGGGAATGTAAGTTAGTACAGCCACTATGGAAAACAGTATGAGACTTCCCAAAAAACAAAACAGAACCACCATTCGATCCAGCAATCCTACTACTGGATATTTATCAAAAAGAAAGAAAAATCAGTATATCAATGAGACACCAGCACCCTTGTGTTTATTGCGGCACTGTTCACAATAGCCAAGATATAGAATTAATCTAAGTGTTTGTTAACAGATGAAAGGATGAAGAAAGTGTGTCATATATGCACAATGGAATACTATCCTGCCATAAAAAGAATGAAATCCTGTCATTTGTAGCAACATGGATAGAAGTAGAGGTCAATATGTTAAATGAAATAAACCAGGCACAGAAAGACAAATATCTCATATTCTCTCATATGTAGGAGTTAAAAAACAAAAACAAAACCAAAAAAAAAAAAAAGTGAATCTCTTGGAGACAGAGAATAGAATAGTGGTTACCAAGGGTTGAGAATGGTGGGGTGGTGGGGTTGAAGAGAGGTTGGTCAGCAAGTACAAACATATAGTTAGAAGGAATAAGTTGTAGTGTTTGATAGCACCATAGGGTGGGTGTAGTTAACAGTAATTTATTGTACATTTCAAAGTAGCTAGAAGAGAAGATTTGAAATGTTCCCAACAGAAAGAAATGATAAATGTTTGATGCAGTGAATATCCTAAATACCCTGATTTGATAGTTAAACATTGTATGCATGTATCAAAATATCACATGTACTTCATAAATATTTTAAAATATTATATATCAATTTAAACATTTTTTAAAAATTCAAAACCTAGGATCCTCACTTCTGCACTTAGGTCCCTAACTTCTGTATCATACTGATGCTCATTATGTAATTTGAGCTTCAATAACTTTGTAAGGAAGATAATACAGACCCTTATCTGAATTTTACGTTCAGGAAAGTGTCTCTTGGAGAGATTAAGTGATTTGTCTGAAATTTCACAGTCTATGAGTGGCATAGCTCGAATTAGAATCTGCTTCTTCTAATTTCAACCAGCCAGCAGTAAAGGAACAGCATGGAGAAGTGTTTTGGAGGGAGCCCTTTATTGTTAAAGGTATCAGTGTGGAAAGTCTGAAGAAGCCGGATCAGGCAGCTCAGAAAGTGGTACAGTATGTGAAGAGGACAGTGGCAAAGCAAAAATTTAGTGGCAGTCACCCACTTGTGACTTGTCTGTTAGTCAGATCTGGAAGGGCTAAGGTTTGAATCTGGACTTTGCCACTTTGTTGCTATGTGACCTTCAGCAAATCATGTCCTTACTCTAGGCCTTAGTTGTCTCCACCAAATATGAGTAACAGTTATTTTACAGAGTTATCAGTATCAAATGAGATCATGAATATAAAAGGCATAGCAGACTGCCCAGCATATCGAAAGTACTTAATAAAATTTAGTTTCTTTCCTGGTAGAGTTTATTTTTCTTTCCTTCTTTCCATAGCATTTATCTAGTCGGCAGAGTGTACAGCAAAGCACATCCCAGGTAAGTGGCTTTCCTGGGTCTTCCAGCCTTTCCCGTCAACTTTTTCTCTTAAGAGATTACAACATATGAATACACCAGGAAATGACAGACACCACTGACTTCTCGACTGTGTGGTGTCTTTATCTGAGGAGCCTTGACCTCTAAACAGTCTTGGCCAGACTCTACTTCTACTGTGCAAATTTGCATAAGCACAATTAAAGCAGACTGAAACTAAAATGAATCAGTCTGGGAGAAAATAAAAATGTTATTTAGAATCATAACTATTACCGGGTAACAGTGTAAATCAAGTGCATTGGGGTCATAATGGCATTTCTTAAAAATGACTTTGAAAATGGTTTTCTGGGCCGGGCGCGGTGGCTCATGCCTGTAATCCCAGCACTTTGGGAGGCCGAGGCAGGTGGATCACCTGAAGTCAGGAGTTTGAGACCAGCCTGGCCAACATGGTGAAACCTGTCTCCACTAAAAATACAAAAATTAGCTGGGCATGGTGGTGAGTGCCTGTAATCCCAGCTACACGGGAGGCTGAGGGAGAATTGCTTGAACCCTGGAGTAAGAGGTGCAGTGAGTCAAGATCATGCTATTGCACTCCAGTCTGGGTGGCAGAGTGAGACTCTGTCTCAAAAAAAAAAAAAAAAAAAGAAAAAAGAAAAAAAGAAAATGGTTTCCTGGAGAATTAAGATGTTTGTCACCTAGTGGAGATCTTTAGTTCACTTATAAGTTGGAATTACTGTCCCTATATTTCTTTCACTGTTTATTCCTCCCAGCTGCTTGCTTGCCCACCTCAACCCAAGTCTGTTGATGCAGCATCCCCTACAAGCAAAGAAAACATTTTCAGTTTCTCAAATAATCTCCTTCAGTAGTGTGAAAAGAGTTTGTAATTTAGTTTGCAGCTTTTAATGATCAATATAAAAACTAAAATAAAAATCACCGGGTTTTCTTCTTCCTCGTTAGGTAGATACAATGCGCCCACGTCATGGGGAAACATGTCGGATGCCAGTGCCACATCACTTCTTCCTCAGCCTGAAGAGTTTCACTTACAATACTATTGGGGAAGATACCGATGTCTTCTTTTCCTTATATGACATGAGGGAAGGCAAGCAGATCAGGTGAGAGTCACTGGAAATTCTGGTGAGGTTGTGATTCTATATTAGGATGGTATGGGTCATAGGCATCTCTGACCTTCAGAGAAGACAGATGCACAGAAGAGGCAAAACAAGATAAGGTAACCTCATCTCATTAGCTAGGAGTTTTGGCCCCAATTCCCTGTGTGCCCTTAAGTCATCTAAACCATACCATGGGTGGCCGCCTTTTTTATGCCTTTTTCCACATAGAAGCTCAAAATTGAGTCTTTGCCACCACCTCACAGAGAGAAAAGGATGCATCTATTTAATACCAAGAAAAGACACAGGAGAAACATAGAACCAGGCAAATGCAGCAGAGACACATAGTTCCAGAGTGCAGGAAGCCCTGGGCCTTGGCTTGCTGCTGTGGAAGAGAGGTTTTGCAGAAAAAAGGGGCTGATGGTGCCTTGTCTGGGCAGCCCATGAAAGGAGAGCATCTTCTGGGTTTCTTTTACATTGCTTGGGAACTTCTTGTGTTAGGAGTGCTTTATGGCTTTTACTTGCTTTAGTACTTAAAATTCGAAAGCAGATTTTTCACTTTTCCAATTATACATCACATGTGGGAAAATTAGAAATGGAAGTTAAAGCAGAATGCAAAAGAAAAACAGTTAATTTGCATGCCCCACAGTGCCTCTGATCTTGACAAAAATATTAATACACTGTGCTTTACTTTGGCATAGGAATAAAATGATGCACCCATTGATCAGGACATGTGAATTTTCCTTATCACCAATGGCTCCTAGTATGTGCCCTTGGGACAGTTATTGTAGAGAAAGTAGCAGTGGTATTGATGAAAGCTAAAACTGTTGCACACAGGCAAGACTATGGACCAGGACTATGTGGATATAGATTCTGGCTGCTGTTCTTTTCCTGCCCAGATTTTTTGTAAACTCTATTTTGTGTGTGTGTGAGTGTGTGTGTGTGTGTGTAAAAATCCTTTCTTCAAGCTAAATTTTATGAGAAAGTCCAATATATGAAACAGATAAAACTATTCCATTATTGTGGCCCGGGCGCGGTGGCTCACTACTGTAATCCCAGCACTTTGGGAGGCTGAAGAGGATGAATCTCGAAGTCAGGAGTTCGAGACCAGCCTGACCAACATAGTGAAACCCCATCTCTAACAAAAATGCAAAAAATTAACTGGGCGTGTTAGTGGGCTCCTGTAAGCCCAGCTATTCCAGAGGCTGAGGCAGAAGAATCGGTTCCACCCAGGAGGCGGAGGTTGCAGTGAGTCGGGATCGCGCCACTGCACTATAGCCTGACTGACAGTGTGAGACTTGGTCTCAAAAAAAAAAAAAGAAAAAAGAAAAAAGGTGGATTGCTGGCAAGATGGCCAAATAGGAACAGCTCTGGTCTGCAGCTCCCAGCAAGATCGATGCAGCAGTCGGGTGATTTCTGCATTTTCAACTGAGGTACCCGGTTCATCTCATTGGGACTGGCTGGACAGTGGATACAGCCCATGGAGGGCAAACCGAAGCAGGGTGGGGCATCCCCTTACCCGAGAAGCGCAAGGGATTGGGAAATTTTCTCCCCTACCCAAGGGAAGCCATGAGGGACTGAGCCTGAGGAACTGTCCACTCTGGCCCGGATACTGCGCTTGTCCCATGGTCTTTGCAACCCACAGACCAGGAGATTCCCTCTGGTGCCTAACCCACCAGAGACTTGGATTTCAAGCACAAAACTGGGTAGCCATTTGGGCAGACACCGAACTAGCTGCAGGAGTTTTTTTTCTCCATAACCCAGTGACACCTGGAATGCCAGCGAGACAGAACTGTTCACTCCCCTGGAAAGGGGTGCTGAAGCCAGGGAGCCAAGTGATCTGGCTTGGTGGGTCCCACTCCCATAGGGCCCAGCAAACTAAGACTCACTGGCTTGAAATTCTCACTGCCAGCACAGCAGCAGACTGAGATCAACCTGGGCCACTCCAGCTTGGTGCGGCGAGGGACATCTGCCATTACTGAGGCAGTTGCCCCTCTGCGACGAAGCTTCCAGAGGAACGAACAGGCAGCAATTTAATCCATCTTGAGTTAATTTTTGTATAAGGTGTAAGGAAGGGGTTCAGTTGCAGTTTTCTGCATATGGCTAGCTAGTTTTCCCAACACCATTTATTAAATAGGGAGTTATTTCCCCATTGCTTGTTGCGTGAGTAGGTGGTTTTATGCTCAACAGTATAAACAAAGCCACTGGGAAGTTTGAACTGGGTGGAGCCTACTGCAGCTCAGTAAGGCTGCTGTGTCCAGACTACCAGATTTCTCCTCTCTGGGCAGGGCATCTCTGAAAAAAAGGCAGCAGCCCCAGTCAGGGACTTATAGATAAAACCCCCGTCTCCCTGGGACAGAGCACCTGGTGGAAGGAGCGGCTGTGGGTGAAGCTTCAGCAGACTTAAAAGTCCCTGCCTGACGTCTCTGAAGAGCACAGCAGACCTCCTAGAACAGCGTTTGAGCTCTGCTAAGGGTCAAACTGCCTCCTCAAGTGGGTCCCTTACCCCCATGTATCCTGACTGGGAGACACCTCCCAGTAAGGGCCTATAGACACCTCATGCAAGAGAGTTCTTGCTGGCATCTGGCAGTTGCCCCTCTGCGACAAACCTTCCAGAGGAAAGAACAGGCAGCAATTTAATCCATCTTGAGTTAATTTTTGTATAAGGTGTAAGGAAGGGGTTCAGTTGCAGTTTTCTGCATATGGCTAGCCAGTTTTCCCAACACCATTTATTAAATAGGGAGTCATTTCCCCATTGCTTGTTTGTGTTAAGTTTGTCAAAGATCAGATGGTTGTAGATGTGTGGTATTATTTCTGAGGCTTCTCTTCTGTTCCATTGGTCTATATATCTGTTTTGGTACCAGTAACATGCTGTTTTGGTTACTGTAGTCTTGTAGTATAGTTTGAAGTGAGATAGCATGATGCCTCCAGCTTTGTTCTTTTTGCTTAGGATTGTCTTGGCTATGCAGGCTCTTTTCTTGGTTCCATATGAAATTTAAAGTAGTTTTTTCTAATTCTGTGAAGAAAGTCAGTAGTAGCTTGATGGGGATGGCATTGAATCTATAAATTACTTTGGGCAGTATGGCCATTTTCATGATATTGATTCTTCTTATCCATGAGCATGGAATGTTTTTCCATTTGTTTGTGTCCTCTCTGATATTCTTGAGCAGTGGTTTGTAGTTCTCCTTGCAGAGGTCCTTCACATCCCTTGTAAGTTGTATTCCTAGGTATTTTAGTGTCTTTGTAGCAGTTGTGAATGGGAGTTCGCTCATGATTTTGCTCTCTGCTCATCTATTATTGGTGTATAGGAATGCTTGTGATGTTTGCACATTGATTTTGTATCCTAAGACTTTGCTGAAGTTATTTATCAGCTTAAGGAGATTTGGGGCTGAGACGATGGGGTTTTCTAAATTTGCAATCATGTCATCTGCAAACAGGGACAGTTTGACTTCCTGTCTTTCCTTTATTTCTTTCTCTTGCCTGACTGCCCTGGCCGGAACTTCTAATACTATGTTGAATAGGAGTGGTGAGAGAAGAGGGCATCCTTGTTGTGCCAGTTTTCAAAGAGAATGCTTCCAGCTTTTGCCCATTCAGTATGATATTGGCTGTGGGTTTGTCATAAATAGCTCTTACTATTTTGAGATACGTTCCATCAATACCTAGTTTATTGAGAGTTTTTAGCATGAAGGGGTGTTGAATTTTATCAAAGGCCTTTTTTGCGTCTATTCAGATAATCATGTGATTTGTTATTGGTTCTGTTTTTGTGATGGATTACGTTTATTGATTTGCATATGTTGAACGAGCCTTGCCCCCCAGGGATGAAGCCGACTTGATCATGGTGGATAAGCTTTTTGATGTGCTGCTGGAATTGGGTTTGCCAGTATTTTATTGAGGATTTTTGCATCGATGTTCATCAGGGATATTGGCCCAAAATTTTCTCTTTTTTTGTTGTGTCTCTTCCAGGTTTTCGTATCAGGTTAAATGCTGGCCTCATAAAATGAGTTAGGGAGGATTCCCTCTTTTTCTATTGTTTGGAATAGTTTCAAAAGGAATAATACCAGCTCCTCTTTGTGCCTGTGGTAGAATTCGGCTGTGAATCTCTCTGGTCCTGGGCTTATTTTGGTTGGTAGGCTACTAATTACTGCCTCCATTTTAGAACTTGTTGGTTTATTGAGGGATTTGACTTCTTTCCAGTTTAGTATTGGGAGGGTGTATGTGTCCAGGAATTTATCCATTTTTTCCATATTTTTCTAGTTTATTTGCGTAGAGATGTTTATTCTCTGATGGTAGTTTATATTTTTGTGTGATGAGTGGTAATATCCCCTTTATCATTTTTTATTGTGTCTATTTCATTTTTCTCTTTTCTTCTTTATTAGTCTGGCTAACGGTCTATCTATTTTGTTGATCTTTTCAAAAAACGAACTCCTGGATTCACTGATTTTTTTTTAAGTTTTTCGTGTCTTTATCTACTTCAGTTGTGTCCTGATCTTAGTTATTTCTTATATTCTGCTAGGTTTTGAATTTGTTTGCTCTTGCTTCACCAGTTCTTTTAATTGTGATGTTAGGGCATAGCTTTTAGATATTTCCCACTATTATTGTGTGGGAGTCTAAGTCTCTTTGTAGTTCTCTAAGAATTTGCTTTATGAATCTGGGTGCTCCTGTATTGGGTGCATATATATTTAGGATAGTTAATATATATGCACCCAATATATCAATATCAACAAGATCAGTCTTGTTGCATTGATCTCTTTACCATTATGTAATGCCCTTCTTTGTCTTTTTTGATCTTTGTTGGTTTAAAGTCTGTTTTGTAAGAGACTAGGATTTCAACCCCTGCTTCTTTCTTTTCTTTTTTCTCTTTTTTCTTTTCTTTTCGCTTAGTAAATATTCCTCCATACCTTTATTTTGAGCCTATGTATGTCTTTGCATGTGAGATGGGTCTCCTGATGGATCTTGACTCTTCATCCAATTTACCAGTCTATGTCTTTTAATTGGGGCATTTAGCC